AGAGTCACGACGCCGGAGATCTGGCAACAGTCAAGACGCCGAATGGGGGCGGGTGAAGGATTGTAGTGGAGACGCGCACTGCTCAATGGAGAAGCGCCGTGCAAGACGCGGGCCTGGAGGAGCAGGAGAAGGAAGGGGGGAAGAAAGAGGAAGTAGGGGAAATCAGGAGGGGGAGGGGGAGGAGGAGGGGGGGGGAGGAGGAGGACGAGGAGAAGGAGGAGGAGGGAAAGGACGAGGAGGAGGAGGAGGGAGAGGAGGAGGAGGAGGAGGAGGAGGAGGGGCTCTGGTTTCCGGGCCGTTCCCTGGACCTGGGTCGGGAGACCTGGTCGTGGCCCGCCGTGGCCACGGCGGGGTTTCCCGACCCGGGAGGAATTCGGTAAGGTATGCGGCCAAGATGTCTCGACGCGCAAGGCACGCTCCCACCCAACAGGAGAGGAGGAGGAGGAGGAGGGGAGGAGGAGGAGGAGGAGGAGGGAGGAGGAGGAGGAGGCGGAGGCGGAGGCGGAGAGGAGGAGGAGGAGGAGGAGAGGAGATGGAGGAGGAGAAAGAAGAGGAATAGTAGTAGTAGGTAGTAGTAGTAGTAGTAGTAGTAGTAGTAGTAGTAGTATAGTAGTAGTAGTAGTAGTAGTAGTAATAGTAGTAGTAAGTAGTAGTAGTAGTAGTAGTAGTAATCGTAGTAGTAGTAGTTAGTAGTAGTAGTAGTAGTAGTAGTTAGTAGTAGTAGTAGTAGTAGTAGTAGTAATCGTAGTAGTAATCGTAGTAGTAGTAGTAGTAGTAGTAGTAGTAGTAGTAGTAGTAGTAGTAGTAGTAGTAACAATCATACTAATATCAGTGATAACAATAATAACAATACTAATAATGATGATGATGCTGCTGCTGCTGATGATGATGATGATGATGATGTTGATGCTGATAATAATAATGATAATGATAATGATACGGATGATAATTATATTAATAGTAATCATAATATGAATAATAGAATTAATCACCAAACTAATAATATTAACAATGATAATAACCATGCTAATAATAACAATACTAATAAGCATAATACCAATAATGATAATAATAATAATGATACTACTAGTACTAATACTCATCATAATAATAATAACAACAATATTAATAATGATAAGAATAATAATAATAATACTGATGATGAGAGTAGTAATGATAATACTACTAGTAATAATAATAATAATAAGAATAATAGTACTAATACGAATAATAATAGTAATACGAAGAAGAGGACGAAGAATAATAATAAGAAGAAAAGGAGGAGGAGGAGGAGGAGGAGGAGGAGGAGGAGGGAGGATCAGGTGGAGGAGGAGGAGGAGGAGGAACAGCAGTATGTGGCCAGGTATGCCTCCGGGCCCTGGAGGATTCCTTCTCTGAAGGGGGCGGCGGTGATATCCAGGGCCAAAAGCCTCATCAGGTGTTCCACCAGGTCTTCAGACCCTGGATCCCTTCCCACAGGATTCCTTGTCCACTGCCCTCGCCGAAGCCTGGCGCTCCGCCAGCTCTGACCCACTGCGCTGCGGCGCGACGCGCAAGCCACGTTGCCACCCAAAAGGAGAGGAGGAGGAGGAGGAGGAGGAGGAGGAGGAGGAGGAGGAGGAGGAGGAGGAGGAGGAGGAGGGAGGAGGAGGAGGAGGAAGGCAGGAGGAGGAGGAGGAGGAGGAGGAGGAGGAGGAGGAGGAGGAGGAGGAGGAGGAGGAGGAGGGGAGGAGGGGAGGAGGGAGGGAGGAGGGAGGAGGAGGGGAGAAAGGAGGAGGGAGGAATCGGAGGAGGAATAGGAGGTGGCGGAGGAGGAGGAGGAGGAAGAGGAAGAGGGGAGGAGGAGTAGGAGGAGGGAGGAAGAGGAGAGGAAGGAGGAGGAAGAGGAGGGAGGAGGGAGGAGGGCGGAGGCAGGAGGGAGGAGGGAGGAGGTGGAGGGAGGTGGCGGGAGGGAGGGGGCCGGAGGGAGGAGGAGGAGGAGGAGGAAGAGGAGGGAGGAGGGAGGAGGAAGGAGGGATGGAGGATGGACGGAGGAGGATGGAAGGGGAGGAGGAGGAGGAGGAGGAGGAGGAGGAGGAGGAGGAGGAGGAGAAGCAGGAGGAGGACCAGTGCAAACCTAAGAGTTATCAACGATGATGGAATTCACCTCCCTTCAAGCTCCCTCTTCATAGACCCCATACAACGGTTCATTTCCATTGAGGGAACTGCTTCGTTGGAAGACAACCATTTGAAGACCCTGAAGCATGTCAAAACATGGCTCTCGGGATTTCAGCGCCACGGATCAACGTGACTGCTGCGTCTTAACGATCCGGAGTCGTGCCTGAACGACCGTGTTGGGACTTCAAGACCGCGAATCAACATACCCGTTGTGCCCGCGTAGTCCAGAATCCTTCCAAACACCATTACTGGTACGCTGATCATGGGAGTGCGTGAAGCTTTTGCGAGCTTCTAGAACGAATGTGTGCGGCGCTCAGGCGAGAGCCACGTTTTGAAAAGGAATCGTCTTCAATCCGTGAAGGCACATATTTAAAACGAGTGTGCGCGGCGCTAACGCGAGAGCCACATTTTGAAAACGACCCGAAAAGGAACCGCCCTCAATCCGTGGAGTTCTTGCAAATTGTTAATAATAATGTGCGCGGCGCTCAGGCGAAAGCCACATTTTGAAAACGACCCGCCCTTAATCCGTGAAGTTCTTGAAAATTTGGAAAAAGAATGTGCGCGGCGCCAAGGCGAGAGCCACATTTTGAAAACGACCGCCCTCAATTCGTGAAGCTCTTGCAAAAGTTGAAAACGAATGTGCGCGGCGCTAAGGCGAGAACCACATTTTGAATACCACCCGCCCTCCATCTGTGAAATTGTTTTCATTTTCAACTTCAGAGTCGTACATGGTGAGGAAGTATCAGGCGAAACGCCCGGCCCGCCCTCAAAATTGGCCGTCGGGGTGTGACAGGGAGAAGTGATTCATAAGGAAAGGGAATGGGGGAGGAGGAGGAGGAGGAGGAGGGGAGGAGGAGGAGAGGAGGAGGAGGTGAGGAGGAAGAGAGGAGGAGGAGGGGGGGGGGAAGGGGGAGGGGGAGGGGGAGGGGGGAGGGGAGAGGAGGACAAGTTAGATGCGCTCGCGCCAACATCTGACATCCTACCCCTCCCTCCCATCCCTTACCATGGCGCTGATTTTCTCTATCCGCGGACGCGTGTCGTAGCGGACCTGTGGCTCCGCGCGCGTGTGCGTAGTGGGTGGTGGTGCGCGTGCGTGCGTGCGTGCGTGTGTGCGTGGTTGTGGTTGTTGTGGTGGTGGTGTGTATGTGTGTGTATGTGTGTGTGTGTGCGTGTGTGCGCGTGTGCAGTGGTGTGACGTGGTGTGGCGTCTTGGTGGTTTGGTGGTGCGCCAGGTGCGTACTTGCGTGATGGCGGTGGTGGTGGTGGCGGTGGTGGTGTGTGTGCGTGTGTGTGTCTATGTGTGTGTGTGTGCGTGTGTGTGTGTGCGTGTGTATGTATGTGTGTGTGCGTGCGTGCGTGCGTGCGTGTGTGTCTGTGTGTGCGCGCGTGCGATGTGGTGTGACGCGGTGTAGCGTGGTGGTGGTGGGTGGGGTAGTGCGGTGGTGGTGGCGGTGCGCGGTGGTGGTGCGCGTGCGTGCGTGCGTGCGTTGGTGGGTGGAAGTGGCGGTGGGTGTGCGTGCGGCGGGGCGGTGCGTGGTGCGGCGCGGTGGTGGCGGGCGGATGAGCGCGCGAGAAAGAGGCCCGCGCTGGGGCGAAAACGCCATCCTGAACGACGGAGGCAAGACACCGATCTGAAAATGAAGCCCACGCTGCAGCCGGAGCACGATTCGGAACGATTCGGGAGCAGAAATGAGACCGGCGCCTCAGCGAGAGCAGCATTTTGAAAAAAACGCAGGCGAAAACCCAAGTCCGGGGAATCGTGTGTGTAAAAAACCGTACGCGGGGGGGGGGGGGGGGGGGGGGCGAATAGGCAAAAGACGTCATCAGGGGAAGCGGGAGAGTAGTATCCATATCGAGTAATTGTGGAGGAGGAGGAGAAGGAGGAGGAGGAGGAAGAGGAGGAGGAGGAGGAGGAGGAGGAGGAGGAAGCGGGGGAGCAGGAACTGGAGCAGGAGCAGGAGGACGAGGAGGAGAAGGAGGAGGAGGAGAAGATGAATAATGACACCAAGCATAAGAAGAAGCAGAAGGAGGAGGAGGAGGAGGAGGAGGAGGAGGAGGAGCAGGAGCAGGAGCAGGAGGAGAAGGAGGATGAGATAGAACCCTGGCCTTGCATAAGGTGTGCCGGCCCCGAGCCTCTCCGAGCCTCTCACCCCGCGGAGCGGAGCGCCGCGCTGTCAGCTTGCAAGGCACACGTCGCCAGGGCCGCCGCCGCAGCATGCCGAGGTCAGTCACACCGAGGAAACAAAAAAACATAGAGGTCGCTTCGGGGAGGGTGCCTCAATCTTCTTCGTGCTTGTTGGCCTTTCTTGTGCGTCCTGTTGAGGATGGGCGCCCCGCTGTCGTAAATCCCCGCGCGTGGCCCCAAATTGTTGGTCCATTTGGAGCCCCACCGAGTCGGGGATTGGGGGGCTCGCTATGCCCCGCCGCTCACGTGCGGGGGGGGAGGGGGGGCGGCCAGGGGCACCGCAATCGAGGCCTCCCAAGTGAGGTCCGAGTGCTGTCGGACCGAGGTACAAGATCGAGGTCGGCTCGGGGAGGGTACCTTGGTGTTTTTCGTGCTTGTTGGCTGCTCTTGCGCACCCTTTCTGGAGATTTTGGGCGGAAAATCTAAAGAGTGGCCGAACAAATATTCAAACATAGCCAAACAATAGTAGAAACATCGTCCCCTGACTGTTTTTTTGTTGAAGCTATTTTTGAAGATTCCCCCTGTAGAGGGACGTGCCCGACTTAAGCCTAGGCTGGGCTGCAGCGCGTCGCCCATGCATAGCCGCCGCGGCGCGAGGTGCTCGGCCGGGCAAAAGTGCCCCCCCCCCGCGAGGGAGAGCCCCCCGTCCGCCAGAGAGGAGCTCGGCCTCTGCGCCCCCGCCGCGTGCACCGCGGGGGAGATCGAGGCGCTCGTGGCGTCGGGCCCGGTGCGCGCGCTGCTGCCGCCGCTCACGGGCGCCTGGGGGGGGGGGCCAGCCGCAGATGAACACACGTTATAAACATATATTGTTGGCGCTCCGCGCGGAGTTCTTGGATCCTCGCTGGGCCTCCCTGGCGGCGCCTCCAGCGCCGCCCCTGGCACGCTCCGCGCGCCAGGGAGGGGCTCCAGCGCAGATCCAGGAAATCCGCAAAAGTTTATGTTTATGGCGTGTTATCTTCTATGGGGGGGAGGGGGGCCAGGGGCAAGGCTAAGGTTGATGATCCTCGGAGCGTGTGTTACAGTCGGGTCGAGGTGTCAGATCGAACTGTCACTTCGGAGAGGGTATTTACCTTGGGATTCGTCGTGCTTGTGGGATGTTTTTGTGCACCCTGGGGAGGTTACCCTTGCATGTTCTGTGCGTTTTGGCCTGCGGAGGGTATTATGTTCTTGAGGGATGTTCTTCTGTCCCAGGTTCGACTGCAGGGTCGGCTAGACGTAAGAGTGACAGTTAGCCGGGGAGACCTTTCGTGCGGGCCCAAAGGGGTCCCCAAACCGCTGATCGCGAAGAGGTAGCAGCGGCTTGCGCGTCTAGGTTCGACCACCCCGCGTCCCCCGCGAAACCGCGCACCACAGGTCACGCTTGCCTAGGGTCACTCCTGCGTGTAGCCGACAAGGCTTGGGTTGATGATCCTCGGGGCGTGTGTTAGCCCAATGTGTGTGTGTGTGTGTGTGTGCGTGCGTGCGTGCGTGCGTGCGTGCGTGCGTGCGTGCGTGTGTGTGTGTGTGTGTGTGTGTGTGTGGGTGCGTGCGTGCGTGCGTGCGTGCGTGCGTGCGTGCGTGCGTGCGTGCGTGCGTGCGTGCGTGCGTGCGTGCGTGCGTGCGTGCGTGCGTGTGCGTGCGTGCGTGCGTGCGTGCGTGCGTGCGTGCGTGCGTGTGTGTGTGTGTGTGTGTGTGTGTGTGTGTGTGTGTGTGTGTGTGTGTGTGTGTGGGGGGGGGGGGTTACCCCGTTCCGCTCCCTCGATAGCACGCAGCCCCTGTTGGCCCTGGTTAACCTCAGGATGTCTTGAGTTTTGGTCCTCCTGCCCTGGTTCTCTCGGCGGGAAATGATATCGTCCCTCGTAGTCGTAGTCGTAGTCGTGATCGTGATAGTAGTCGTGTTCGGCAACTACTCGTAGCCGTAGCCGTAGTCGTATCGTGATCGTAGTCGTAGTCGTAATCGTAGTCGTCGTCGTGGTTGTTGTGCGGCGGGTGCCGCGGATAATCAATTATTCAATCGGTGCGCTCATTCCGCCGGCCCATGTTGCATGATCGCTACTGCATCGCCGTGGGCCCGGGGCCACTGTGGCGCCGCCGAGGAGGAAGAAGATGAGGATGGGGAAGGGGAGGGGAGGAGGAGGAGAGGATGAGAAGGACAGGAGGAGGATGAAGATTAGTAGGAGGAGGAGGAGGAGGAAGAGGAAGGAGCGGAGGAGGAAGCCTCTCGTTGGCATCTTGTGTTGCTCTTGCGGCCAAACAGGGTCGTCGTCAAGATGCATCTTTGGGAGGCCTCTTGGGGTCTTTTGAGAAGCCGTTCGGGGGCGCCTGGGAGGCATTTTTGAAGCCTTCTGGGGGGCCTCCTGGGGGCCTCCTGGGGCCACTCGGGCCTCCTGCGGAAGGCCTCTTGGCGGCATCTTGGGGCGGCATCTTGGCGGCATCTTGGCGCCTCTTGGAGGCCACTCGGGGCCTCCTGCGGAAGGCGCGAGGTTTCGGTTCGTGGTCCCCCCTCCTGGGCCCCTTTTTGGGGCCGTCTTGGGGCCGTTTTGGGCGCCTCTTGGGCCGTCTCGGGGCCCTCTTGGGCCCTCTTGGGGCCCTCTTGGAAGCCTCTTGGCCCGTCTTGGGGCGCTCTTGGGGGCATCCTTGGGCCGTCTTGGAGCATCGGATGGCCGAAAAGGGGACAAGGCCCAAATCCTTCCAAAACCATAGTAAAAATTATGATTTTGGCTTCTCGGGGCCCTCTTGTGAGGCCTCTTGGAGGCCACTTGGAGGCCTCTTGGGCCGTCTTGGGGTCATCATCGGCGTCTTGGAGCGCTTTTTGGGCGTCTCGGGGGCCCTTTGGGCAGTCTTGGGGGCCTCTTGGCGCACTCTTGGCGCGCTCTGGGGGGCCTGAGAAGCCACACCCAGGAGGAAAACCATCTCTGGGTAGCAGTGGTCGGGCTGCGGTCGGGGTACTTTTCGCCGGGGGACCCCCAGGGGCCGCCACGCGCCCGCGAACTAGAAATATTGTTAACCAGTTACCGGAGATCTTAGAACGCCTCTGGCCCGTTGGGCCGGCGAATTTACCATTGCTGGTGGGACCCCAGTCCGTCCATACGGTCGCCGAAGAGATGATCGTTTCCCTCTATTGGGGGTTTCTGAAGACCTATCGAGGTGAACTGCGCCGCCTGCTTCGCATGGGAGAGCTTCGGTGGACAAATACGCGTTGGTGCTCACACACGATCTGAGGATCATCTTTAGGGGGGATACACCCCAACGGGGGCTATCCGAACGCACCCCTGTTGAGGATGGGCGCCCCGCTGTCGTAAATCCCCGAGCGTGGCCCCAAGTTGTTGGTCCATTTGGAGCCACACCGAGTCGGGAATTGGGGGGCTCGCCATGCCCCGCCGTTCACGTGCGGGGGGAAAGGGGGGCGGTCAGGGGCACCGCAATCGAGGCCTCCTAAGTGAGGTCCGAGTGCAGTCGGACCGAGGTACCAGATCGAGGTCGACTCGGGGAGGGTACCCTGGTGTTTCTCGTGCTTGTTGGCTGCTCTTGCGCACCCTGTCTGGAGGGTGCCCTCGCATCTTCTTCAGTTTGGCTGGCGGAGGGTCTCATGTTCTTGAGGGATGTTTTTCTGTCCTAGGTCCGGCTGCACATGGGGTCGGAGAATTTCGCCGCATCGCCGATGCATCAGCGATGCGGACCCCGATGTCCACAATTCCGACGTCGCCAATGCATCGCCGCCGTCGCCGATGCATCGCCGACGCATCGGTGATGCATCGGCGATGCGGCGCCATCCTCCGACTCCATCTGCTCCATCAGGGAGGCCTCAAGCTAGGCGTGGATAGGCTCTAGGTTCGAGGTTTCTACATGTTGCCGTGGGTTCTCAGCGGTCTTCCAGCCTCGGGATGCCTTCCAGCGGCTGCGCCTCGCCGAGAGCGTCGGGTGCCCAGATCGTCCCGAAGGACCGCCAGAGGCCCGAGGCGCGACCCGAAAGCCCATGAGGGATGGGCTCGGGGCGAGGTGCGTCGGCCCTCGATCGCCCAAGGATCGCCGATAGGGGCCTGCTGGCCCGCCCCGTGCAGGAGCGAGCGGTTTCTCGCTACCGGAGGCCTACCGCCGCTTCTATCGGCGTGGCATCGCCGAGTACCCCTCCTATCGCTGCCCCTGCGGGAGGGGGCGGGGGGCGGCGGGGGCGCCTGGCTAGCGCGCGAGAGCTCAGCGGTTCAAAGGTGGGGCCCCGAGGAGGAAGCGAGCTGGCTAGGTTGAGTTGGCGTTTCTTTTTGATTCTGGGGCTTCCCCACTTCTTCTGGCCCTGGCCGGGTGTGGCCTTAGGCGACGTTTGGCCTGCATCTTCTACATCTTCCACTACTTTCTCGGCCTCTGGCCGAGGGCGTCGACGGCACAGGCACCGTGTCACCATCAGCCACAGCAAAGGGATTGGGCCCCGAGAGAGAGGGGCCTGGAGGAGTTCAGCTTCAGCCCGGTGGCCCCTGCCTATCCTGGGGGCCCCGTCCCTCCGGGCCCCTTGTTCGAGTTTCTGGCGCGCTCCCCCTTCCCCTCCTCCCTCATCCCCTGTCCTTCCCTTCTGCGTCCAGGCTATAGTCCGCAGCGTCCGTCTGCCGGCCAGCCGAGCGCGCCATTGCTGACCGACGCTGCCGCGCGGCGTGAAACAAAAATCTTCGAGCTGCCGCGGAGCGCGCCCCCCCTCGCGAGAGTGGTATCTGGCGCGCGCCCGCTGCCAATCCTCCCCTTCCTCCCCCTCCCCCTCCCCCTCCTCCTCCTCCTCCTCCTCCTCCTCCTCCTCCTCCTCCTCCTCCTCCTCCTCCTCCGTTGCCAGTTGGCTCACGCCATTTTGACCCCACCAGCTGGCAGGGCAAAAGTGATTCTTGAGCGGGCAGCCTTCCCTGAGAGGGCACTCTTGGGCGCGAGCCCAGGCGGACACTTTTCGTGCCTTCGCCGGAGGACTTGGGCCCCTCCTCCAGTCTTGCTTTCGCTTCCACACCCATGGCTACGGTCGATGCCGCCACGGTCTCGCCTGCGCGCCGCTCTCCAGCGTCGCCTCCTGCTGGTGTCATCCGCAGCTCCGTGGACAAGGGCAAGAAGCTCGTCAAGCTCCATCGTCGTGTTCGTCCTCCTGGCTCTGGTGCTACTGGCGGTAGCTCTTCCCCTGCAGCCATCGCCCTGGACATGGACGACACCGATGACGAGATGGAGAGTACCAGCCCGCGCTCAACACGCACATCGGTGACTGCGTCACGTCCACCGTCAAGGCCGAGGCTACTACCATCCAGCAGTCCCTCGCCTCCAGCTTGGCCGAGTGCTTCAGCAAGTGCGAGGCCGACCTTGATGCGCTGCCTTCGAAGCTGGACGCCCAGATCATTGCCGCCGTCACGCCGAAGATCGACGAGGTCAGGCGCGAGCTCAACACCCGGTGCGACAGCATCAAAGTGGAAATCACGCAGGTCGACAGCCATGTGGATCAGCAAGACAAGTTACTTCGTGAAATGCAGGAGCAGATCAAGCAGCTGCAGAGTGCCCTCGCCGTCGCCAACTCTGCGACGCCAGCTCCTCGTCCTGTTGCAGACTCCGACACCTTCACGCGCGACGCCGATGAGACGATCATCGAGGTCTTCGCGGGCAAGCTCGTCGCCAGGACCGCCGTCCACGAGGTGCTGGCCCCCTGGCTTGAGGAGTCCAGCATCACCACTGAACAATGAGAGCTCACAGCTGCAGACCCTCTCTTGAAGTACTCCACCATCAAGCTCAAGGGCGCCGTCGGCCTGGCCACGCGACGTGT